AGCTCACCGCCGGTCACGCCCACGATGGCCACTTTGGGACCGTCGGCAACCTTCTTGGCTGTGACCTGCAGGCAGGCAGGCAGGCAGGCAGGCAAGCAGAGCGGCTGTGGCAGGCCAGTGGCTACTGGGTGCGGCATGGTATAGGCAGCAGGAGGTACCGCCAGTGGGACGGGCACGATTCCACCGGCTCGCTGCCTCTGTGCAGGCAGCTGGGCGATCATCAGCAAAATGCGGCACCGATTGGGCCAGGGAGGATGCAGCGCAGCGCTTCCCAAGCACCGGCGGAGGCGGCCGCGGCGGCGGCAGGGCCCCGGGCTGGCGGCCCACCATGCATGCACCGATGCATTGCTGCACCTCTCCCATGCATGCTGGTGCAGCCGCAGGGCGGCTGGAGCACCGCGCCGCCATGACAGCAACCCCACCCGATGCCGGGAGCCGCAGCGGCGGTGCCTGGCACATGAGTGACACCCCCACGATGTTGCCAGCTTGCCATCGCACCTGCACGCTGCGCCGCCCCGCCCGCACCGGCTGGGGCGCCCTGCACGCTAGGGGGCTGCCCCGCACGGCGCAGCTGTTGGAGGCCTGCATGGCTGTTGGTGTTCCCCGTCGATAGAAGGATGTGGAGGCTATTCGGTCGGGGTTTGGTAGCCGGGACTTGAGAGTGCTGGAAAGGGGCAGTTGACCGGGCGCAAATACCGCTCTCCTGGCTGCCTCCTGCTCGAGTTACTGATGCTGAAATGCGGCACGATACATGCGGAGAAGGTTCAAGCCGGAGGCAGCCTCGCAGGGAGGCACAGGCTAAGTGTCGGCGCATGCTACTGTACATGCGACGGCATGCATGTTTGTGGCCGCCCAGTGGGCTGGCAAATGATGGGGCTGGGCTGAAGGGAACCTATTCAGGGCATGTGTCATTCATGGATGCAGCGACAAATCGCCATGCTGCGTGACGCCCTGGTTAATGCCCAGCGTGGTGCGACGGGAGAACGCAGCCGGAGCGGGCTGGCGGTAGTCTGGTGCCAGGCCTCGATGCGCAGGGTGCATCCATCTCATTTGGATGGCGCTGCAGAATGGCCCCATACCACATGTGCAGTGATGGCGCAGGGCAAAAGCAGGCGCCTCATGACGTGGCGCCATGCGCCCTCCACATAGGGCGGTGGCGGGAGGGGCCATCACCTTCCTGCTCGTCATCCCTCACCCATACAATCTGCCGCCAGCACCTCGTTACCACACTTATCAGCGCGTCCTGGCTCCAGTAGCGAAACCTCGCGGCGCAACACCTGTCGGAGCCCGCGGAAGCCCCCAGGAAAGCTCCGGGACGCATGCAAGGTGCACAGGGCCCATGGTTGTCGCCCGCGACTGCGCGGGGTTGGGTTGTGCGGCGGTCCGCCAGGGACGCAGCGTAGACCGCTCCCGGGCGCCAGCCGCCCGCCTCCTCCTTGCGGCTGCATTTTCCAGCAATCCCCTCGGCTGCTGGCTGCAGACATCTCAGCCCAGCCACAGCAACACGTGTTGAATGGTGGATACCAGGGGCCAGCAGGCCAGGAGACATGCCGCCCGTGCCGCGCAGCTGTTCCGAGGGCTGCCCCGGACGTGCTTGGGCTGATTAGCAGCCAGCTGGGCACAGACGACAGGTGCGCAACTGGACAGGCCATGTTCCTCCTCGGGAAGGAGCTTTACCTCTCCCTGTCTTGCCTGTGCTCAACGGCGGTGCCGGATGCCGGCAGGGCCCCGCACGTCACCCCACTCCTTCCTGACCTTGCCCGCAGGAAGGCATTCGAGTCGGCCACGACTTGGCTGAAGGCAGCGGGAGACGCCAGCACGGTCCCGTGGCGGCACGTGCAGGTGCGCCGCTGGTGCCGGCCGGCTGGCGGGTGCTGCGCCTGCCGGCAGCCGCTTCGGTTCGCCGGCCGTCACACCCACGAACACACCCTGCTCCTCTGGCGCCGCAGGCGGAAGCAGACACGTCTGGCCTGCTGTCCCTGGCCGCCTGGGCGCGCCCCGCACGCGCCCCCTGCGGCCCCGACGGCCAGCGCCAGCCGCGCCGCGTGCAGCGCCTGGGTATCGAGCTTGCATCTGAGGAGGGCGACGAGCGCGACGGCAGCCGGCTGGCCTCCTGAAAGTGCTCCGAGGCGGTTGCGACGGCGGTAGCCCTGGGCGCCTGCCTGGAAACTCTGGAGATATTCTACGAGCCGTGGCTGCTGCGCCCGCCCCCGTGGGGCCTCGACCGGTCCATCGCGCCATGCCTGCAGGCACGCCTGTGCATCGGTCGTTGCCTCGGGGCGACGCGCCGCGGCAGCCTGTGCCGCAGCGGCGCCCGAGATGCTGCCGCACAGGGCTCGGTTGAACTGCCGCCGCTGCAAACAGCCTCCGCCGCTGTGCGCGCAGGTGGGGCCATGGGTGGCAGAGCTGCGGGCGCTGCGCCATCTCGGGATCACCCTGGGGAGCGGCTGGCTGCACGTCACCACGCACCTGGCTCGCCTGCCGCGCCTCGAGGTGCTGCTGCTGGCAGGGTCGGAGCACAAGTTGGAGCTGGAGGCCGGCTGCCTGCCGCCCAGCCTGATGCAGCTGCAGCTGGAGGTGAGCTCGGAGGTGCGCCACCCCGTGGTGCCCGCCGCCCTGGCAGCTGCCACGCAGCTGCGGCAGCTGGAGCTGGCCATCGGCCCCCGAGGGCCTCTGGGCCAAGGAGGTGGACTGCTCGGTGGTGGAGCGCCTCTCGCGGCTGGCCGTTCTCAACCTGGGGTGCTTCCCCACCCGCCCCCTGCACCTCGGCGGCCTGGGCAGCCTGCGCCAGCTGTCCTTCACCTGCCTGGAGTACGCACAGGACACCCTGTTCAACGCGTTCGTCGTGCGCAGCAGCCTCTCGGCCCTGACCGGGCTGACCAGCCTGGACTGCGGCAGCGACATTACCGACATGCCGGAAGAGCTCAGCCTGCTGACCTCCCTGGAGGTGCTCCACCTGGGGTCCGCCACCTACCCTGCGGCGGCGCTGTCGGGGCTGGCGCGCCTGCACACCCTGGTGGCAAGCCTGCCGAACGATGTCGATGCATTTGCAGACTGGCATGTGATGGAGGAGGATCGGGATGCAAAGCTGGAGGCGATGGCAGAGCTGCCGGCGCTCAGGCGCGTCAGGTTTGTGCAAGAGGCGTGTGGGCGCGAGGACTTCCAAGACCTCCAGCGCCGCCGCCAGGAGCGGGGCTGTGATGGCGAGCTGCGGTGGGCGGCTCTCGCCAGGCGCGAGTGCGGCTGCCCGTCGCTGACCTGGAACCTGTTTGACCGGTAGGGCGCACCTTCCGACCGTTGCGCGGCACCCACTTGCCCCTGCCTCTTCCGCTCATGCTTCTCACACCATCAAATGCAAGTTTATTGCTGGAGTCACGGCTGGCAAGGGCAGTGCTATGGCTGCCAGGCCCAGCCAGATGCAGCAGTGCCAGCCCCAGGGCCCCGTGCCCCGCCGCCTCGCTGCTGCCGCCGCGCCCGCAAGGCCCTGCCTGCGGCGGCCCGCTGCGAAGGCTCCTGCTCCTCCCACTGCTGCCGCTGCCGCGGCTCGCCCTGCTGCCCCGAGGCGCCCCCGGGTGCTGCACCCTTGCCGCCCAGCTGGATTCCTCGGCGGAAGAGCGCCACCGCCTCGCCCACCGCCCGCACCACCAGCCAGCTGGCCGCTGACGTGGCACGCGACCACAGCGCGCGCAGCAGCGGCGCCAGCAGGTCTACAGCCTCCAGGAGCAGGCTGGCTGCGGGCGGGCGGGAGGGAGGGCAGGGGGACACGTGGGTGCGTCAGGGGCAGAGGTGTGTGGAGGCGGCAGAGGCACGCCGCGGGGCCGCACCAGGAGGTTGATGCGCTCGGCTGAGGCCCTCCCAACGCCGCTCCTGCACCCCCTCCCCTCCCCAGCTGCAGCAGGCCGCCTGAGCTCCCGCCTGCCCTGAGCGCACCTGCATAGCGCAGCCCCGTGAGGCGCCCCAGCTCAGGGGTGCGCTTCATGGGCGCGGCGCGCGCCGCCAGCGCCCGCCCGCCGCGCGCGATGCCAAACAGGCGCAGCCGGTCCTCGTAAATGTCGGCCACGCCTCGGTAGTTGCGCTGCAGGCGGTACGGGCGGTACGGGTAGTAAGCAGGGCAGGCGGTAAAAGCAGTCAGCAGGGCGGGCAGTAGGCGGGGGTTGGGCAGTGGTGGCATGGCGGTGCAGGTCGTGGCAAAGGTGGTGAGTGCGTCGGTGAGGGCAAAAGTGTGCGCCTTGGCACATGCGTGTGCGCGTCGTTGGGTGTGCGGTGCAAGCCTGCGCAGGCAGGCCATGCCGGGCTCGGCAGCAGGAGGAGCTGTGACAGGAGGCGGCCGCCCGCCCATGCGCACCTCCACCCAGCGGTTGAGCGCCACTCTGTTGGCAAAGCGCTGCAGCTGGCGCGTGCTGGCCAGCTGGGCGTGCACAAAGGTGGGCCACCAGCCGGACTCGAGAGGGCTGCCGCCGCCGCTGCCGGCACCACCGGCGCCGTTGCTCGGGCTGTCGGGGCTGCCGAGACGGCTCCCCGCGGCGGCAGGGCCCACGGTGGCAGCAGAGCCACCGGCCGCGGCAGCTGCTGCTCGCTGCAACGCCTCTGCTTGGCTGCCGCCGCCGCCGCTGGGAGCCGCTGCAGAGGCTGCTTGGGTGCCGCGGCGCCACCAGCTGCCCCGCCCCCGTGCAGCAGCCTGCTGCTGCTGCTGCCGCTGCGGCTGGCGATCCGCTGCCGGGATGCCGCCAGCTGGGGCGCCCGCGCCTGTGTCCGCCCCACCGTCGCCGCGAGGAGGCGGCGCCACCGCGGCGGCGGCTGCGGCGGCTGCCAGCGTGGGGCCGGCCGTGGACGCGTCGCCTAGGTAGGCGGCAGCCACAGCGTCTGCAGCCATCACCGCCATGTCTTGCAGGACCACAGGCGCAAGGGCGAGAAGCTGGGAGTCGCTGCGCGTGCCCGCGGCTGTGGCCCGCCACCCCCTGCAGGCACAGCATGCACAGCGGCGGGGCTGGTGGGAGGCTGCTTCTGGCCTCCCGGCACCGGCAGCTGCCCAGGAGGCGGTCGGCAGCTTGCAAGAGCCAGCCCCTACCCAGCAGCAGCGCCATCACACCTGATGCTGCCGAGCGAGCCGCCCTGCTCCTGCTGCTGCCGCAGCAGCAGCAGCGCCTGGCTCCTGGCCAGCCCGCCGGCGCCGCTGCTTGCGGCCAGGCCAGCTGCCTGCTGCTCCCCTGCGCCTGGAGGCTCTCCCGTGAACGGTCCGCTGGTGCTGCCTGCTGCCTCTCCTCCTCTGTCTCCTGCTCCGTCTGCTGCTGTGGCAGCTGCCTGCCCCGGTGCCGGCAGCCCCAGCCCCGCCGCTCCTCCCACACCACCCTGCTGCTCCCACTGCTGCTGGTCGATGGAGCTGCAGGTGAGCAGGCGCAGCACGCTGCTGTACAGCTGCAGCTTCTCCCCCAGGCAGTACCAATCTACTGTGGTACCATCGCTGGCCTCCCCGCCGCCGCCGCCCTCATCCGTCCCAGTACCGCCAGCTGCGCTGCTGGCGTTGCTCTTTGCGGCGCCGTCTGCTGCCGCTGCCATGGCAGCCGCGGCGGCCTGCTGCTGCACTCCTGCTGCCGCCGCCGCCAGGCCGGCGGCCTGCAGTACCGCCGGGTCTGCCGCCCTCAGCTTCCTGGCCGCTCCCTCCAGCAGCTGCTCGGGCACATAGCCCAGCCAGGCGGCCGCCGCAGCCACGCTGGAGAGCGCCAGCAGCGCGGTGCTGAGCTGGCGCCACTGCGCTGCCGAGCCGGCCAGCAGCCCCGCGCCAGCTGGCAGCGCCGCCACCTGCGCCTCCAGCGCTGCCAGGCAGAGGGCCAGCAGGCGGCTTCGGTCGGCGCTGCGTATGCCCTGCGGCACATCACACGGGGCGGACAATGGTGTTTTGCTGCGCTGCAAAGCGGCGGCAGGTGGGGAGGGGTGCAGACTGGCTGCAGCGGCAACCCCAGCACCGGCACCCAGCTTGCATGCTGCCACCACGCCGCCAAGCGCACCTGCAGTAGCAGCACAGGCGTGCGCTGCAAGCCGCCGTCTCCTGCAGCCAGTGCCTCATCCTCGCCCTCCTGCTGCTCCTCTGGTTGCTCTGCAGCATCGCCTGCCTGCAGAACTGCCTCAGAACCGGCTGCTATGCCGCTGTCGTTTGCTGCTCCATGCCCTGCTGCACCGTGCTGCTGCTGGGCAGGAGGGGGAGCAAAGGCCTGCCATGCCGCCGCCCAGATGCCCTCAACGCTGGTGGGCGTTTCTGCGGCTGCCGCAGAGCTCTCCGACTGCCCCTGCGCGGCAGCCCCTGCAGCCTCCGAGCCGGCTGCTGCCCCAGCTGCGCTGCCGTCTGCCCGGCGCAGCCACAGCGCCGTCAGCAGCGAGGCGGTGGCCGCCAGGGTGGCAGCTGTCGGCAGCGCGTCGAGGGCCTCGGCGGGCAGCGCCCTCGGCCGCTGTGGCGGCCGCCTGCGCTGCGGCAATCTGCAGGCACGCGTTGAATGCTTCGCACGAGCGGGCTGGCACGCGCGGGCCGCTATTGGCGGCAGAATGGCGGCGGGTGCCGCCACGGGCGGCATCGTGCCTGCCCTGCAGCCACGAGCACCTTCCGGCGATACCCAAGAGATTGGTATGTTCGCCTGGCTTGATGGCCGGCTCATGATTTCATACGCAGGGCAGACCGCCAGGCTGGCGGGGGTGGCTGAAATGGGCTCATCGGAAGTCTGGAGACCTTGCAATCGCTCCAATTGCGACCTTCCAGTCGAGCACGCCCGAAATGGAGGTCTGCAGCAGCCTTCGGTGCACTCCAAACTGGGCCTCCGGCAGCAGCTCGACCCGACACAGCAGAGCAGCAGGCGCCCGCTTTTCGCCTTTCCCGACCAGCAGTCCCAGGCGGCGGCAGGGCTGCAGGCGCTGCAGGCCGGCTGCAGCTGCCGCAGCGGCAGAGGGGTCGGCGGGGCGGCTGCCACTGCTGGATGGCCTGGCGGCGGCCGGGCCTGCCTCGCCCCCGCCAGACTACTCGGCCATCGATACCCAGCCCCTCAACCGTGCCGTCTACAGCCTGTTCCGCGGCCGCATGGTTCAGGCCATCGGCAGCGACTCGCAGCAGGAAGGGTGGGTGGCCGCCTGCCGGGTGCACCCGCAGCCGGGCCACCAGCTGATCGCAGTGCAGCAGCAGGCACAGATTTCTGCTGTGGCCAGCGCATCCCTGCGGCTGCATCCCCTCCCCTCCCTCCCTGTGTTTTCAGTTACGCGGCCATCATTGATCTCACCCGCCGCCTCAACGCACAGCACTCCAGCCCGCGTGGCACCCAGGAGGCGACGGTCGGCATCCTGCGTTCGCTGTTCCCCGGCTGGCTTCCCCCGGCCTTTGCTGTGATGTTTTCGAAGCCCATGCCGGGGCTGTCCTGCCAGGTGAGGGCCGCTGCTTGGGTTGGCAGCGTGGCCGCTGCGCCGATGGCTCCAAACCCTCCCAAGCACCAGCCTGGCTGCTCGCCACACCAACAGCACCGGCACCCCGTTCCACTGCTTGCCCACCTGACCCTTCCCCTATGTTTTTATGAGCGCAGCTCAATGCATGGGCCACCTGGATGACCTGCCAGTGGCTGATGGGAGAGTGCGAGGTGAACGACGTGGAGATCGACGGCGGCAGGATGGGGGCCGGGCACGGCGTGCTCGTCAAGCGGTGCGCGAGCCGGGGAGGCGGGCGGGCTGCCACCCAGGCGCTCGGGTCTTCCTGCCTGCCGAGTGCTCCCTGGCCCTGCCTGTTCACCTCTCCTGCCTGCCCCTTGGCAGCAGTGTGTCCACCCGATGGGCCTTGCCCCAGGCCCTGCCCTCGGCCCCCGTGCATGTGGGGTGCGCTGTCCTGCTGTGGCTTGTGTCCCCGCAGGTGCCGCTACCTGGAGGAGGCTGCCTGCGCCTCGGTCTGCATCAACTCCTGCAAGGTGCGCTGCCGCCGGAGCAGGGTGCCGCGCGCGGCAGCCTGCCGCTCAGGCCCGGCAGCCAACCGCTGGCAGGATGGCTGTTAGGCTACGCACCGGCAGTGCGCATGGTTGCATAACAATAACGAGCAACAGACGAGGTGCTGGTCGCCTGCAGGTGCCCACCCAGGAGTTCTTCCAGCGCCACATGGGCCTGCCGCTGGAGATGAAGCCCAACTACGAAGACTTCTCCTGCCAGTTCAGGTGAGGCCAAGCAGCCGTGGCTTCCTCGCTTCTGCAGCTGCGCAGCACAACAGGCAGCAGCAAGCCGGCCAAGGCGCAAGCGGCAGAGGTGAAAGCAGCTGTGTGGCTATGTCTTGCCTTCGTTGCCGTCGTGCCACTGACCGAAATCCGGGCCTCCCTGTTGTTGGTCCCCTGTGGGTCTGTTGCAGCTTTGGCAAGACGCCGCCGCCCGAGGCGCAAGATGCCGCCTTCTCGACGCCCTGCTTCCAGAAGTGCCCCACAGCGCAGCGGGCGGCGGCAGCACTGGCAGCGGACGAGGGGGTGGAAGAGGGGCAGCGCTGCCACAAGATCCAGCTGAATTTGCCCTGAGGAGGCGGAAGCGGCAGCCTGGGTGCGGCGGTGGCAATGGGCAGACCCCCCTTGCAGCCGCCAGGCATTTGCCCCCTGCTCTGCGGCGCTCTGCTGTCCATTCTGTAATGTGGCATAAGCACGGGGGATGAGAAGGCCGCCGAGGGGATGAGCCCGTGCTGTGCTGTGCTCTGCTGCCCCCGTGCTTCGCAGGCGGGGTCTTGGGCGTGATGCAGGGCACAGTCCCCCCTCCTGCTCTACCAACCGCCCTCTGCTGCCGCAGCGCCCCTTGGAACATTTCCCAGGCCACCCCCACCCGATCACCGGCACCAAGCTCTCTGGCGGTCGCCCCAGACCCCCCGGCACTCCGATCCCGCCCCCGCACGCCTACCAGGGCCCGTAAGAGGCCTGGTTTGCTTCGCCATGAGCGACGGCCCGGTCACCAAGCCCCAGCGCAACGTTGCCTACTTCTTCGATGAGGAGCTGTGCAACTACAACTATGGCGGCGGGAATCCCATGAGGCCCCACCGCCACCGCCTCACAACCAACCTGGTGAAGGGCTACCAGCTGGACGAGAAGATGCGCCTGATTCGGCCCAGGGCGCGCAGCCGCGAGGAAATCATGTACTTCCATGCCGACGGTGAGCGCGGGGGCCGTGGTGGGGGGCGGTAGGGTTGCATGGCTGCGGCACACGCCTGGCTCCGCCTGCACGACGGCGGGACGGCCTGCATGCACGCCGCCGCCGTGGGCGTAGCTGCCTTGTTTGGGCAGCCCGTGCCCCGGAAGCCTGCTGCATATCCTGCTGCCAGGAGGCCCCCGCCAGCACGTGTGTGCAGAACACTCCGGGCTGCCGCTGGTGCAGCCTCACCCCACACCCCAGTAGGTCTGTCTGCCCCACGCCCCAAAAGGTCTGTCTGCCTGTGTTTCTTTCCTGCAGACTATGTTGACTTTCTCACCAGCGTCACGCCTGAGAACCAGGAGGAGTTTATGATGCAGGTGGGGGGAGGAGGGGGAGGGCCTGTTGGCTGGGGGGCGAGTGCTTTCCGTGGGAGGTGGAGGTGGAGAATGGGAGGTTGGGACTGGGGGCGTGTGGCCGTGCAGCCAGGCGTGGGCCTTGAGCGCCCCAGGGCTGACAGTGGGCCAGGAGCGGCCTAAGCTGCAGCAGGGCTGCCGCGCTGGCGGCGGGAGACGGGGCCGGGTGTAGTGGGCAGCAGCAGGCGCCGCCTGGAGCCCCACGCCTGCCGCTTGGCCCACCCCCTTTCCGCAGATGCGGCGCTTCAACCTGGGGCCGGTGGGCGAGGCAGACTGCCCCGTGTTTGATGGCATGATGGAGTACTTTCAGGTGGGTGCAGTTCCTGTTCCGCTGTCCTCCGGTTCTTCCGGTACTGCTGCCCTGCGGTACTGCTCAGGCAGTGCGATGTGTGTGGGAGCGCGTCCGTTGCCACCAGGGCGGCCGGATGCCGGGTGTTGCGGCTGCTGGGGCGGCGGCACCAGCCCTGCCGCGCGCGCCTGTCCGCCTGCCCCTCCTTCCAACACACCGCCCTGGCGCCCCATTGTGCAGATCTACACCGCCGGCTCCGTGGGCGGCGCCAGCCTGATCAATGAGGGGGAGGCGGATGTGGTGATGAACTGGAGCGGCGGCATGCACCACGCCAAGAAGGGGGAGGCCTCGGGTGGGTGGCCCCGGTGAGCCTGCGGGCTCGGCATGCGAGGGGTGGGGATGGTCTGTGTGGCGGTGGCTTGGCGGAGGGCTGGGGGCCGGATGCCACTTTGGTTTGGTGGCTGCACTCTTGAGGGTGCCAGGCGCGCCGGCGCTCCGGCTGTCTTTGCGCCCTGTACTGCCCGCTGTACTGCCCACCTGGACGCACATGTGCCGCCCACCCGTACCGCAGGCTTCTGCTACATCAACGACATCGTGCTGGCCATCTTGGAGCTTCTCAAGGTGCACCAGCGGTGAGTAGACCCCTTTGTTTTTATAAGATCCTGGGTTTGGAGGGCTGGGCAGGGCAGGGAGCCGCCGCAGTCCCCTCCGCTCCTCTGCTCCCAGCCTGCGCCGCTCCCTGCGCTGCCGCCCTGCCCCACATCGTGCTGAGCGACCCCTGCACTCGTGCCGCACCGCCCCCTCCACCCTCCCGCACCTCGATCCTGCGCCGCTCCTCGCTGCGCCGTCCCTCACTGTGGCACCTGGCACCTGTACCACGACCGTACCGCCCTGTACCGCCCCGCAGCGTGCTGTACGTCGACATCGACATCCACCACGGCGACGGCGTGGAGGAGGCCTTCTACACCACCAACCGCGTCATGACCGTCTCCTTCCACAAGTACGGAGACTTCTTCCCGGGGACGGGAGCGCTGGGTGAGCGGCACCGCACGGCCCGTAGCCCTGGGGCACAGAGCACGCTGCCTGCGTGCTGGGGGGGAGGGGGGGTGCAGGGCGTGGGCGAGCCTGGGAGCGGCGGGTGTCCTCGGGGGGTTGGCCGCCTGCTCGGGGAGCCACGCCCCTGCTGCAGGCCACTTCTCAGAGCTGCAGCTGCCAGCCCGTGCCAGGCAGCTTCCAGGCAGCTCCGCCGCGCGCCTCGTCATCCCATCTGCCTGCTCCCCCCCGCTTGCCCCGCCCACCCTGCCACCTCGCCCCCACCCTCCCTGCGCCCACCCTTGCAGGCGACACGGGCCACGCCGAGGGCAAGCTGTACAGCGTGAATGTACCGCTGCAAGAGGGCATGGACGACGAGAGCTACAAGTATGTGTATGAGCCCGTCATGCAGAAGGTGAGGGTGTTGCGCATCCAGTAGTGCCCCCCAGAGGTGAAGTACGTAATGTACATCCAGGACATATAGGGGAGGGTGGCCAGATCAACTGTTAACAGAGTGGACGAGCGCCGCAACCGGTAGCGCCTGGCAGAGGGGGCGCCAGGGCTGCCGGCTGGGCGCCAGACCCCACCCAACGTGGCTCGCCCACGGCCACCACGTGCCGCTGATGTACCGCCGTCCTGTACCGCAGGTCATGGAGCTGTACCAGCCGGGCGCCATTGTCATGTGCTGCGGCGCCGACTCGCTTTCGGGCGACAAGCTGGGCTGCTTCAACTTGTCCATACAGGTGGGCCCGGGGGGGCTTGCGGCACAAGGGGAGGGGCTGCAGGGGTGCGGTGTGGGGCCTGTGGCGGGCTGGCGCCTTCAGTCGGGCCGCAGCCGGGCTGTCCGGGGCTGCGACAGAGGGGGTGTGACTGGAGGGGCGGCGGTGTGTAGGCGCTTGGGAGGGATGAGGCTCTGTTGCCTGCCTCCCCTCTGCGTGCCGCCTTCCCGCACCATTCCTTCCCGTCCTCAACGCTCCCCCTCCCTCTCACCCGCGCCCACCTGCTCCCACCACCCCCGCCGCCGCCGCCGCAGGGCCACTCTGCCTGCATCGAGTTCATGGCGCGCTTTAACGTGCCTCTGCTGGTGCTGGGCGGCGGCGGCTACACGATGCGCAACGTGTCGCGGTGCTGGTGCTACGAGACGGGGCGCCTGCTGGGGCTGGACCTTCCCGACGAGTGAGCCGCACTGCGCTGCGCTGGGGTGGCTGGTGGTGGTGGTGGTGGGTGGGTGGGAGGGATGGAGGGAGGGAAAGAGTGTATTTACGTGATGGCTGCTCCTTGGTGAAGCGTGCTGGGCTTCAGTCTGCCCGGCAGCACTCCCGCCCGCTGGCCTGCTGTTGTGTGGTTGTCGCGTCCCTGCTCCGAACTCGTGCCCTGGCGCCTGCCTGCTCTGGTACCGCAGGATCCCAGAGGCAGGGTACCGCGACTACGACTACTTCATGGACACCCACCGCCTGCGCATCGCGGGTGTGTGCCCGTGCAGTACCAGCAGTACCACCGTTCGTGGCACCGGGCGCAAGGCCGCCACCCTGCGACCTGTACCCTGCGCCGCGCCCTGCCTGCTCGCTTCTTCAGCGCTCCTCACCTGGCCGGGCCCCTGCCGCCGCCCTTACCCTGCCTGCCTGCTTGCCCCTTGCCCCTGCCTCGCTCCACCTCCCCCCTGCAGTGTCCAACATGAAGAACGCCAACACGCGGGAGAGCCTGGACCGCATCCGTACCTCGGTACTGGAGAATCTGTCCACCATGCCGCCCGCGCCCTCCGCCCAGATGGCGCCCGTGCCGCCCAAGGTCGAGCAGGTGAGAGGGGTCCTGGCTGCAGAAGAGCGGGCAGGGCTGGGCCCGGGGTGAGGCTTGGGCAGGGGCCTGCCGGCGCAATCGAGGAGCTGGGGAAGGGAGGCGCAAAGGGAGGGCCCGCGCCTGTGGCGTGCCCCACCCTGCGCAGCTCGCCGGCCTGCTCCCCACCTACCTCCCGCCGCCGACTCTGCTCTTTATCGACCCTCATCGCTGGCCCACCTGCCTCAACCGCAGGAGGAGGTGCCCGAGGAGGAGATGGAGGCGCGGGGCGGCGGCGCCGCCTACGACGACCGCCGCGTGGCTCGCGACGACGATGTGAGCGCCCGCCCCCGCCTGCCTGCGCCCTGGCTGGGCGACTGCCCTCTGCCTGCCCTCCTGCCTGCCCTCTGTCAGCCGCATGGCAGCCGGCCCGCATGCGGCAGCTGCTTTTGTTGCAAGCGGCCACGTGCCGCCTTTTCAATCAAACTGGAGCCTCAACCGCGTGTGCCCTTGGCTGCCTTGCGCTCCGCCCCCGCCGTTGCCGCGCCTTGCAGGTTGGGGACGACGAGAAGGATGATGTGAAGGCGGCCAGGGATGAGCAGAGCCACGGCTCCGAGCCCGCCATGCCGGTGAAGCCGCACTGCGGGCGCCTGCCGCAGCGCCGAGCTTCCGCTGCCTGCTGCCCCGCGCCTGCGTGTGTTGTGTGCTGGCGAGCAGTATAGCTGCCGGCTGCCCCGCCTGCCTGCCTGTGTGTGTGTGTGTGTGTGTGTGGCGGATGGTGGGAGCGCTCAGTGAGGAAAGTTGTGTCGATGGGCGGACTGAATGCGCGCCTGATAAGCGCGCATGACGAGTGTCGACTGTTTATTGGCAAGGCCCCTGCGGCCGCGCCCTGAGAGCCTCCCCGCCCCTTTTGCATGCCCGCACGCCTGCACCATGCTGCCGCCTCAGGCTGTGCTACCCGCTCACCGTGCTTCTCTTCCATGTGTGCACCTCTGCAGGCAGCACCTGCAGCCCCCGCCAGCGAGCCGGCTGCCCCTGCAGCCGCGGCCGGCGCCCCCGCCAGCGACGAGGCTTTCCTCAACGAGGCCACTGCCCCCGCTGCCGCCGCCGCCGCTGCGCCGGCCGCCGCCCCAGCTGCCGCTGCGCCCGCCGCGGCCGCCCAGCAGCCAGCTGCGGCGGCGCAGCAGGCGGCGGCGCCCGCCGCCGCGGCCCCGCCGGCGCCGGCGCCTGCAGCAGCGGCGCTCCCGGCAGTACCAGAGGTCAAGGCCGAGCCAGCTGCTGCGCCGGCGCCTGCGCCGGCGGCGGCTGCTGCCGACCACATGCAGGTCGATGGCTGAGCAGGCTGGTGGCTGGCTGGCGCACAGTGCCAGCCGCAGCTGTCGCAGCTTTGGCTGCCGGCACTAGCGTGGCCCGCAGCAGAAGGCAGCGCTGCACTGAGCAAACACAGAGGGCAGCACCCTGCCAGAGCATGTGGCCCCAGCCCCCAGCGCTGTCTGCGTGGGCTAGCAAGACCGCTGTTGCACCCACCTATGTGGACCATCGTCTGTGTCACACCAGAAGGTGGCATGTAACCCACAGCAGCACAAATTGCCGCCCGCTCAGCGATCAGGGGTGCTTGACAATGTGGCGGGATGAGCCTCCAAAAGAATTGACACTGATGCAAGGAAGGCTGCAGGTTTGTGGTTTGAGCCATGCCGCGGGCGCGCCTGCCACTGTGAATCCCATGGAGCGAAGGTGCTGCCCAGCGCCCCTGACACCTGTACCGCCACCTCGCCTTCCCCGAGCCAGGCCACGCTGATCACAGTAAAGGAGCTGGAGGTGTCTTTCACAGCTACAGGTATCCTGCAGGAGAGTATAGACATCGCCCGCTCGGGTTCTTCTCCGTCCGTCATTTTCGCTGACACGCTGGCGTCCAGTCATCACATGTACCAGCACTTCCACAGGCAGCACATGCCGCCCTTCTGGCATTCTATAACGCATACGTGATTGAGCAGCACCAGTTTGCGACGATATGTGCTCGCTCCAGCAACGAATCTTGCTCAGCGTGGCATTGCTGGTCAGTCAGCTGGCTGCAGCGCAGGGGCAGGAGGAGCTCGCAAACGCAGCGGGCGATGCGCTGGAGACGATCAGCCGCATGGACGAGCTCAGCAGCATGGTGCTCGGGGCGCTGGTCCTGGAAGCGGGAGATGGCTTGTGCTTGTGTGGGCTTAAAGTCTGGTAAAGCAAGAACTAGCTTGCAACATAGACTCCCCGCCGAAACGGGACGGGAACCGGGCGAAAGCGGAGAAAGCAATAAAACAGGGGTGGAGCAAGGCGACATGCAACGCAAGCAGCTGACAGGGCACGCATCGAAACGTGTGTATGACTGGCAAAGTGGCATGGCGCATTGGGGAGAAACGCAACGGTACGGGAGCATGGGCTGGCCAAAC